AGCCCTTTTTATTTTTTATTTTGAGACAGAGTCTGGCTAAGTTGCTAAGGGTAGCCTCAAACTTGGGATCCACCTGCCTCAGCTCCCTGAAATGTGGGATTGCAGGTGTCCACCACAATGCCTTGCAAAACTTGGGAAAAAAAATTTTTTTGGGTACTAGGAGTCGAATTCAGGGCTACCACTGAGCTATATACCAGCCCTTTTTATTTTTTGAGGCAGGGTTTGGCCTCCAACTTGAGATCCTCCTGCCTCAGCCTCCCAAAGGCTTGGCACCCAGCAAAAATTAAATATTCATTCCAAAATTATATTCTCTACCTCTCTCTTGGTAGTATTATTGGTAATATAATTTTTTCTCATATCTTTTTGGTTTTTTTAAATCCTCTTTATTAGTTTCTCTTTATATAAAACAAGCATATCACTGTCTTAGTAGAAATCCTTTATTGTACTTTAGTCATTGAACCAGTAAATATTAAAAATTGGAAAATTTCTAAGATGTGAAGCATGTATATATTTACATGTGTGTGTTACTGGACTCCTCTTTGCTTGTTTTTTATTTGTTTATTTTTGTTATTATTTTGTTTTGTTTAAGACAGAAACTTGTTCTGTTGCCCAGGTTGGTCTCAAACTCAGGCTCAGGTAATCCTCCTATCTCAGTCTCCCAAGTAGCTAGGACTACAGGTATGCGCCACCACACCCAGCTCTTTTATATGTATGTGTGGTGCTGAGTATTGAGCCTAGGGTCACTTTATCACTAAGCTACATCTCCATTCCTTTTAATTTTTTATTTTGAGACAGAATTTCACTAAGTTGCCCAGGCTGGCTTCAAACTTATGATGCTCCAAGTCACCATGCTCAGCTGTCTATGCTTTCTTAAGGTGTCTAGCCTAATATAAGAATGCATTAACAGAATTAGGCTTCAGTCTCCAGATTATTTCTAGAAATAAAACTTTTGTACTGATCAAATAGTGTCTTCTCTCCTTCTATGAAGAAATGACTATCTCCTTAAGTAGTGTTTATTTTCTAATCAAAAACTACCTTTTATGTCCTTAAGGATTATATTCAACTGCTACATCCCTGGTGTCAAGTCAATGTTGGTTCCTGTCGATTTATGTTGGGACGTTGTTACCTAGTTACAGGCGAAGGACAAAAGGTAAAATGCATTTGAGTGGTGAATAACCTCTAGTTCAAGGAGGATGTTTTAGTTTTCATCTGGATTATGGGGTGGGAAGCACAGAGTCCTCCACAAAAGGGTTCCTTAGCATATGAGTACTGTACTGGTACCAGTGAAGGGCATAGTATCAGGTTAGCTTCTTACACTCAGGTTTTATTAGGGTTTAGGAAAATAAGACGAAACATTAAGACCTTTCTGCCCCAAAGCAAAATAAAATTTATTCATTAATCACATTTTCATGTATCTGTTTGCTTTTTCATCTTTTTTTGTTAAGATAATGTTTATATTTTTAATTTTTTTCCCCTGATATCCTATTTTGTAGATTTTAAATATGCAGAAAAGTTTGAAGACTTTCACGGTGAATAGTTATATAGCCACCACTCAAATTCTGTAGTTGTTCACATGCTGCTACAGTTGCCTTTATTACTTATCTATCCATCAGTCGTCTTATTAAAGTTTGCTTTTTAAATTAATAGCATTTAAATAAAAAGTGAGAAAAATTAAAGAAATATTAAATGATGTATCAGAATTTATATGTGGCAGAAACTGTGAGTAGTGGTATACTATCTTAAATACTTTTTCTTTTGGCTTTCCTCAGCATATGAACCTGATTTATATCACTAAAACTTTATAGGTCACTTTGCACTTTTTAAATTTTTTCCAGGCTTTGGAATGTTTCTGTCAGGCAGCATCAGAAGTGGGCAAAGAAGAATTCTTAGATCGATTGATCCGCTCAGAGGATGGGGACATTGTATCCTCCCCCAGGCTGCAGTATTATGATAAGGTACAGTGCTGTTGTTTGGCTCTCCTTATATACTTATATAGAAATGTATCTAAGATATATTGCTTTTTTTTTTTTTTTGTACCGGGGATTGAACTCGACACTTGACCATGGAGCCTTTTTTTTAAAATTTTTTATTAGTTATTGATGGACACTTATATATTTATTTGTTTATATGTGGTGTTGAGACTTGAACCCAGTGCCTCACACATGCTAGGCACGCACTCTACCGCTGAGCCACAACCCCAGCCCCCACTGAGCCATTTTTAATATTTTACGTAGAGACATGGTTTCACTGAGTTGCTTAGTGTGCTTTTTTTTTTTTAGTTGTAGATGGACACAATATCATTTTTTTAATGTGGTGCTGAGGATCGAACCCAGTACCTCACATGTGTGAGGCATGTACCACCACACCTGCCCGGCTGCTTTGATATTTTTTAAGAAAAATACTAAAAAACTTAATTGTTCCCAGAACTTCTAAGTGAGAAGAAGATGGACTTGCCTAGACATATTGAGAAAACCTGCTGGGCACAGTAGCACATGACTGGAAGGAATCCCAGCAATTCAGGAGGCTAAGACAGGAGGGAGGACTTCTGCCTCAGTCTCCTGAGTCTCTGGGATTACTAGTGTATGCTGCCAAGCCCAGCTCATGGCTCTTTTACAGGTGATCATTTGTCCATCTTAAAGCAGGCATCAGAGGGAAGAGAGAGCATCACAACAGGGTTGAGGGTGTAACACCTTCTCTTGTCCATCTGATTTCAGTAGGTTATTTACCTGGTTGGATAGATTTACATGATATATTGCTTAATTTTGATGAAACTCACCTTTACATTGTAGATGTAAAATATTCATGGAAGCTGGGCATGGTGGTGCACACCTGTAATCCCAGTGACTCAGGAATCTAAGGAAGGAAGGTTTGAGACGAGCCAAAGCAACTTAGGGAGGTTCTAAGCAATTTCAGGAGACTCTGTCTTAAAATAAAAAGGGCTGGAGATGTAGCTCAGTGGTAGAATGCTTGCCTAGCATGCGTAGGCCTTAGGTTCAATCCCCGGTGCCACAGAGAAGGAAAAAAAAAAAAAACTCTTTAGGGCTTTGTTACACTATGATGTTCATTTACTATGCTTTAAATTCATCAGCAACATAAACAGTTTATAGGAAAAGTTTATGCAGATTGAGTATCCCTTAACCAAAATGCTTGGAAACAAAAGTGTTTCATTTTTGCAGGGGGGTAACCTGGGATTTATTTAACTCAGGGGTGCTTTACCACTGAGCCACATCACCACCCTGTTTTGTGTTTTATTTAGAGATGGGGTCTCACTGACTTGCTCAGCACCTCACTGTTGCTGAGGCTGGCTTTGATTGATCCTCCTGCCTCAGCCTCCCAAGCCACTGAGATTACATCGAGCACCACCATGCCCAGCTCAGATTTTTTTTTTTTTAATGTTTACATATACATATGAGATATCCTGGGGAGGAGTCTAGGTCCAAACACAAAATTTATTTATGTTTCATATTATACCTTACACATATAGCCTGAGGTAATTTTACATAAATTTTTAGTGTTTTGTCTGTGGCCCCTCTCATGAGGTCAGATGAATTTTCCACTTGTGGTGGCCTATCAGCCCTCAGTTTCAGATTTTGGAGCATTTTCAGAGTTTTGGATTAGGAATGCTGGTTCTATTGTAAAACTGTGTTTGTTCTTTCATTTAACAAATATTCACTGAGAGCCTACTGTGTATAAGGCACTGGTTTAGGATCAGAGGATAAGGTTCTAAGTACCACTGCTACTCCCTGTCCGATATTCCCTGTTCTTGTGGTACTTAAAATACAGGTTGGAAAGAGACTAGACAAATAAAGTCAGGCAGTGATATGTGCTCTGAATAAAAGTAAAGCAGATCAACGCAGTAGGCCAGGAAGTGTTCAGTTTGAAACTCCATAGTGGTAGCTCTCAGGTCCACATGCTAAGATTTAAGTCCCAGATCTCTGGACTACGACCTTACACAAGTTCTTCATCTGTAAAATCATTCAATTACTGTGAGGGTGAATATGATTAATACCTACCAAGGGTAAAGCTATTCCTGGCAAGTAAGTACTTTTTGTATCCCCAGGTTTTTGGGTTAGTTGGTTGGTTGGATGGTTGGTTAGTTAGTTGGTTGGTACTAGGGAGTGAATCCAGTGGTACTTTACCACTAGGCTACATCCCCAGTCTTTTTTATTTTTTTGATACCAGGGATTAAACCCAGGGGCACTTGACTACTGAGCCATATCCCCCTCCATTTTTTATATATTTTTTTTATTTAGAGATAGGGTCTTGCTAAGTTGTTTAGGGCCACACTGAGTTGCTGAGGCTGGCCTTGAACTCAAGATCCTCCTGTCTCGGCCTCCTTAGCGGCTGGGATTATAGACATGAGCCACCATGCCTGGCCTTTATTTTTTAATTTTGAGATAGTGTCTTGCTAAGTTGCTGAGGCTGGCCTCAAACTTGCGATTCTCCTTCCTCAGCCTCTTGAGTTGCTGGGATTACAGGCAAGTACCACTGTGCCCAGCTACCCCCAGCTTCTTATTGAAGGCATGTGAATATAAGGATCTAGACACATTCATATCTTTGGGGGATATTTCATTACTTTCTCACACTGGCAAAACAAAAGGACAAAGCTGGATGTGGTGGGGAGTCAGTCCTATAGGCCCAGTACTCAAGAGCCTGAGGCAGGAACATTACTTGAGCTTTGGAGTTTGGGGCCAGCCTGGGTGCCATAATGAGACCCCATCTCTTTAAAAAAGCCCAAGTCAGGTGTGGTTGTGTATGACCATAATCTCAGGGACTTGGGAGACTGAGGCAGGAGAATCACAAGCTCAAGGCCAGTCTGAGCAACTTAGTGAGGCCCTAAGCAACTTAGCAAGACCCTGTCTCAAAATAAAAATAAAAATAAAAGAAGGCTGGGAATGTGGCTTAGTGGTAAAAACAGCCTTGGGTTCAATCACTGATGCAAAAAAAAAAGCCAATCTTTAATCCCTCTATTATTTATTAGTAGTGGTTGGTTGGTTCTATAAAGAACATGTTAAGACTCTCTCTCTTAACTTTATCTTTCTCTGTTCCAACCTAACACAATCAAAATTATCTATAACTTATGAGCCATTATTCCAGTGTTATTATCTAGAAAAACAAATAGATTTTATAACAAGCCTTTGTATAACAGTAGAATCTAAAGAAAAATCTTAATATTAACCAAATAATCCTGTCCATTTTATCAGCACCTTTTTTCTGAATGGTTCTAAGGATGGAACCCAGGGCCTCAAGCCTATTAGGCAAGGCTCTCCCACTGAGCTACCTCCCTAGTCCCCTTATCAGTGCCTTTAATTTAATCTTTACTTACCTAATGATGTTTCTGACTAATTTTGAACAATAATTCAATTTGGAGTACCACTGCCATATTAATTTTAATGAAAATTTCTTGAATTTCTCTTTAGGTTTTACGTCTTCTAGATGTTGTTGGTTTGCCTGAGCTGGTTATTCAGTTGGCTACATCAGCAATAACTGAAGCAGGTGATGACTGGAAAAGTCAGGTAAAAACTATTATTTGCTTTGTTTTTCTTGAAGGTTGTTCTGGACATTGTATTTTAATTTTCTTTGCCCTTTTTTGATATTTGATCTAAATTTGATATTTAGGCTACTTTACGGACATGCATTTTCAAACATCATTTGGATTTGGGTCACAACAGCCAAGCATATGAGGCCTTAACCCAAATTCCTGACTCTAGCAGGTAATCTTACAGTCTTTTTAACACAAGGCAATTTACCAGCCCTGTTTAACCCACTATGGCATTTTACCCTTATAACCCTTTCTTTTCTTCCAGGCAGTTAGATTGTTTACGGCAACTAGTGGTAGTTCTCTGTGAACGCTCACAGCTACAGGATCTTGTAGAATTTCCTTATGTGAATCTGCATAATGAGGTAATTTTATGTATCCACTGATGTCTAGAAACAGCTCTGTTGGTTGTCACGATTGCTACTAACATCGATGCCTCATTGTTTTTCCTATATTAGGTTGTGGCAATAATTGAATCTCGTGCTAGAGCTGTGGACCTTATGACTCACAATTACTATGAACTTCTCTATGCCTTTCACATCTATCGCCACAATTACCGCAAAGGTGAGCAACTGAACAAAGACACTTGGTATTGGAAGCTGCCTTATAAGTTTAATAATATTTTATCAAAAATGTGTGTTGGGCTTATCTAAGTTTTAGTTGTGTTTAAGTACAAGCTTCACTTCATCCTTTTGAAGATTACCTGTTAGCTTTGAAGATGTATTTATATACTTACCCCATTCTAGAACATTCTCAGATTATTTCCAGTGAGATGGCATTCTATGTGCATTTTCTCTCCAGTTGTAAAGGAAGCTTGAGGGGCTTGGGTTATGGCTCAGCGGTAGAGCTCTCACCTTGCATGTTCAAGGCTCGGAGTTCGATCCTCGGCACCACATAAAAATTAAATAAATAAATAGAGTTAT